GAAGTCTCGGCCCTTATCTGTTCTGCGGTTTGAATGGGCAGCGAACGTATGCCACTCTCTACATTTGATATAATGTCCTCTACTGGTAACCTGGACGGTACTATGGCAAAGTTTTCTCCCTTGGCCAGCACGCTTTGTTCGTCAGCAGTAAGTTCCTTGCTGGTCAAGTTGACTACAATCTTCCGTTGGTTCTCCTCGGGTGATGGTCCTGTTTTGCTGGACCGTTGAAGCTTTTCCATCAGCGCATCAAACTTCTTCTTTTGGCGATTAGTTGCTACTGCTTCGGCCACCATCATTCGGTCAGCTGTTAATCTATCCACTTTTTCTCAATGAATCCAGTGCATTTTGTTGGCGAGTTCTATATTAACAGGTACGAGTCTACTGTCAATATGTGCAAGATCTCGGTGGGTTTCATGTATCCGTTCCCGTAAAAGAGCTCGTTCCGCCCGGTTGTAGATATTCTTGGCCTGGTTGGTTCTGAAGTATCTCTTCATCTTCAAGAAGGTTGGTAAACGTCAGGAAGAAATTCCCATAGACCACGGCTTCAAAGCCCGGAAAACATTCCTAAATGTGAATAATTTGAATTATGATAGAAGTATGTCGGGTTTATAATATTTTTTTTTCAAGTTTATAGATGGTGTGCTTATTTTGTCCATCAGTGTATTTGATATTTAAAAAACCGCTCAAAAGCACACCCGTTACTCAAAGAATATTTAGATTTAGCTCAAATTCAATCCTTCTGGAAGATTTTTTAAATCAGAGTTTATCTTCTATGGGAATGTCGGTGTCGCTTTAACCGTTGCAACTTTGCATTAAGTAAACCTTTTAAATATAAATGGCATCAGACAATTTCCAGTTTCAGGAATCCCACCGAATATGATGTACACATCGCACTTGCAACGGTCTTCTCCGACCACGGCCACCGCTATAGCATCCGCAACCATAACCATTCAAAATATGCCGCCTAATTCGATACCTCCTTTTGCGACCAGAGGAGCCACGGGCCATTTTGGAGCTCACCACTATCCAGTTAATAATGCTCCGCATGTGGACTACTCCAAGAACAAAAGCAGCTATGGAATGGCACAACAGATTTATAATGATGGTAAGTTAAACCTAGATTTTATTATTCGATGGTGTTAGTTGAATGTACCCTGTAGGCATGTACAACCCGGACCATCCAACAGTAACGGACAATCCGCCTTACAACAGAAGTCAGGCTCATGCGGGCAGTATGTCGAGGTCAAGTCGGACCATGCGGGGACAAAATTTCCATCAGAACTACGCACAACAGCACGCCGCCTATAATTATGGATACAGTAAAAACATTGGTTCAGAAAACTACCCTGTGGCAGCAGGACAAGTTAACTATAGCCAAAGTTATCCCCATTCCGAGCATGGTAATAACTCAACATTGAAATCGTGAAAATGTGTGCGTCATCCCAATTCTGTTCTAAGGTTCATATCATTATCCATACACTGGCAACAACATGTACAATGCCGAGGGAGCGGAGAATCTGCAATCGCACATGCCATCCGCAGTACAAGATGGCAATTACTACGGTAACGCCGCGCATATGCAGAAAGACTATCAACAGCAAAATAAGGTATGTTTGCCTAATTTCGTTCGTGTGACGGTGTAAAGGGTGTGACATGCAAAGAACCACTGGTTCTCAGAATAGATTAATAATTAATATCTACATTTCACGCTTTCAATACAGCGGCATCTAAAAGTAAAGAAACAATCGATTTACAACGTTCTACGTCTTCATATTACCGATATCAAACCTTGATGTTTCATCTCGTTTTGGTTCCGTTCTGGTGATGAGCAAAACATGACCAAGAGTTGCATGGTCTTGATCTTGCAAACCAAAAGACGCTCTCGGTCTTGGTTAAGGAGCCCAAAATAGTGTAGACAGAAATATTGCTTCAACTCAAAAAAATCAGTTGATTCCAGCTACCGAATAAAAAGTTCTGGTAGTTTTTGTACAAAGACCCTCAAGAATTCCTCACTTGCCCAAAGCGGATAAACTCGGTTGCCTCATCAAAACATGAGTCATAGGAACTCACAGCTAGTTTCATTAAAATTCATCTTACCATTCTCTCGAAAAAACTTTGTTTTTATAACTTCGACCATCAATAGTAGAGGAGCTGGACATTGTTTCTTCCTCAAATTCCTTTTTCAATAAAAGGTCATACGTCTGCATTTGAGCCAAAGAATGTCTGAGTGCCCTTTTGATCATGTGCTTACGGTCTTGGTCTTAGTCTTGCAATCCCAAATCCTGGTCTTGTTTTCTTCCAAGACTGCTAGACCAAGAGCAGTCTCGCTCATCACTATTTTGTTCCATGCTTTGTCGGGAATTATTAATCTTGCCATTACTAGTTTATTGATTTAGTTTTTCTAGTTCTCTCAGTTGTCTCATACTTTCGTTACTAACTCTTTTAATTTTTGGCCTACAAGCCGTTTGCTTCTTGAAGTCTGCCTCCAAGGGTTTTAATGTTTTTCAGCAATTTTTTGATTGCCCACTCGTCTGAGCTATAAGTTATCATGATGTTTAACAATGTTTTATATAATATTGTTTTGTTATATTTATTTATGGTTTTGTGTCCTAGTACATTATTTAACAGATCAATTGTTCTGTTTCTTTGAGTGTTCGTTTACTTTTATTTCCTGCACTTTTTTATTATTTAATTATTTTCTTGCTGTTCGTTTCAATGGAAATATTTTCTATTTCTTTGATGGTAAACTCTAATTCACATTTTTTTGTATTGTTCGATTTCTATCTAGTCATGTAGTTGAAATCAGTCTTGTGCGATAACCACTTGATCATCCGCGAAGCACTGCATGTAGAATATTTTATTGCTTGTATATGGACTCCCGTGTTTGTGCGTTTTCCTTCCACTCGACAAGAGACCATTCGGGGCAAATTTTCAATAATATCGGAGATCAGCTCCGACTCACTCCTTTTGATACCGGTATACCATTGAATAAAGTTGTACCCCATTGAATTTATCTTCTGGAACCCAGGGACGGATCCAGCTTTAAAGTCAGGGGAGGGGTTTGTAGAAAAAACACAGTCTTCTGTTGTTTATGAACTTAGTTGAAAAATGATCGTCGTTTTGTGCAAGGGTGGCGCAAGATTATTGCAAAATTTCATGTTTTCCGGAAATTCTCGTTTGTTTCTCGGAAGCAAAATGAGCAAGAACGCTCGTGTTTACATTATTCCAGAGATAACTAAATGGCCTTTATTCGAAGTTTCTCAAGAACCATTCGAGCCACAGAAAGCGAAATTTTGTTTTGGCATCCTTGGATAGAGAATTGAAAAGTCGATTCAGTCGTAACAACGAGAGTGAGGAAGTTTGAGTAGTTTTGACCCAGAAAGCGAAATTCGAATATCAGACACTTAGGTGCAAGATTATGCCAAAATTTCATGTTTTCCGTCCCGTTTTTGTTCATATCTCGGAGTCAAAATGAGCAAGAACGTTCATTTGTACATCATTCTAGAGATAAATAAATGACCTTTTTAAAAAGTGAACCATGGATGTGAAAATGTTGGCAGTTTTCTCAAAAAATGCTTGAATTCTAGAAGTTTTAGATTTGCGCCGTTTTTTTTTAGTTGCAAAATCCACTTGAAGATGAGGCTGCTTTTTTCGAAGTTTCTTTAGAACCATTCGAGCCACATAATTCGTTTTGGCATCGTTGGATAGAAAATTGAAGTCGATTCAGTCTTAACAACGAGAGTGAGGAAGTTAGAGTAGTTTTGACCCAGAAAGCGAAATTTGAATATCAGACACTTAGGTGCAGGATTATGCCAAAATTTAATGTTTTTCGTCCGGTTTTTGCTCATTTCTCGGAGGCAAAATGAGCAAGAGCTCTCATTTGTACATCATTCTAGAGAGAAATAAATGGCATTTTTAGAAAGTGAACCATCGATAAGCAAATGTTGACAGTTTTCTCAATAAATGCTTGAATTCGAGAAGTTTTAGATTTGCGTGGCTTTTCTTTGAGTTGCAAAATCCACTTGAACATGACGCTGCTTTTTTCCTTCCATCAGTGGAATCTTGTTGTCTCCAATGTCTCTCATACCATTCTTACGACAAGTTGTCTTAATCCTTTTGCAGATCGATCAACAAACATCAGATGGAGTTCTTGATACAATGCTTACTTTGCTTCTATAACATACAAGTTAATTATAAAATCGCTAAGGATTAATATGTTAGAAATTAGGTACATAAGAATTCAATATTTCAGATGGGATACTATGAACCGGCCTATCCTACCACCCAGATACCTCCGAATGGTGAATCCTCCTACGCAATGACTCCAGACATATTTCCTGGATCAACTACCAATCCAGCAGGCGTAATGACTCCTCCAGCTAGCGTCCAGACCACCGACAACGGTGACAACTTTAATAACTTTCATCAGTTTTACACTGGAGAGACGGCGTCCACTGGAGGAAATCAGCAAGTCGCCCCACCAGAGAATAGCAATGGATCTTCAGAGTTTAATTTTCTTAGTAACTTAGCTAACGACTATATACCCGAGTATTATCAAATCTGATGGTCCAATGCCAGTGAATTCTCAGAGTTTGTTTGTTAAAATTGTTTAATATATATTAGTCTGCACCTTGATTTTGCAAGTCATGATTTTATGTATAGACAAGGCAGTCATCGTTTTTCATCCACAAAAATCCTCATCATTAATTTCCTAGTAATGGCAGTTACATAAACTATAGTTTTGAATGAATGTCGCGTTCGATACAGCGACGACTAAGAAGTGGCAATATTGTAAATTGTGTATATTAGTTGTTAATATTATAACGTGAAACCTAGACTGTAAAAATTGGTATTAGACAATCCGAAAATATCTGTTAATATGTAAATATCACAATCAATGTTTAACAATCAATTAAATCTATGTAACGGCTCGAAGACAAACTTTTTTGTGCAGATTTCAAAATGTTTTTTGTCCGTTGAAATAATACTGAAAACTAGCACCAACATGTTTACAAAATTATAACTATTTGCGAGTTGGAAAACGAACTATTGCAACAGTTGAGACTTTAAGTTGACTTAAAAACCGTTATCTCGTTAATATGAAAATTGCAGGAATTAACATAAAGTAACATATCTAAAAAGTTTCCCTCTTAAAATGTTTATAAATTTGAGACTAACTTCTAATACGTAAATGTCCATCGCAACACCGCGTTTTGCAAATGTATACTAGGGCGATCTAAAATTATTGTTTTTAAATTTGTTCAAATGTAAATATTTAAGTTTGAAATCAATGTACAGCATTATTAACTTTTAACGCATTAATTCACAGTTAGCATTTTAATTGACATAAATATACAACATTAACTTTTCACGAGTTTTATTATATTATAATCCTGTACATCTATACAAAATTTTGATTATGAAATTAGCCTAATCTAAAAATGGACGGTTTTGGTAATTCAAGGCGTTAAAAATTATTATTTTGTTTGTAATGTTACTATCTGAACGTAATTTTGTAAGAGAGCTTCTTTGGTGCAGAAAATTAGGATTAATTAATATATATAAAAGAGCATATTTGTTATCACCCAGTAGATGCAATTATTTATTATCAGACTTGTGCTAGGTTTTTATGAAACACTCTATAAAATAAATGGCAGGAGAAGATAGAAAAGGCACTTATTAAGGCGGGAGAAGACGTTAAAGGTTCGCTCTAAAGCCGAAGAGTTAAGAGTCATATTTACTAAATGAAGAGCCTTCAAGTGAAACAAGCACGACTTATAAAAAAGGTAAATGGATTCGTAGAAAAATGGCAGGAAAACTGCGGAATATAAACCATCCAGCTGATTTCGACTGTACATATTAAAGGAAGACTGTCTTAACGCTACTTTTGGGAAATGGATATATTTTTTATGCATTTCACAGCTCGACAAAAAAATTACCGCTATATTGAAGTAGCGATTATGGCTAAATATAAGCCGTAAAATGCGATTTATGTTTTCAAATACGTTTACGATTTAAGAGTCGATCCGTAATTGGACTTTTTGCTTTGGTGTAACCCTGATGACCCATCTTTGATAGAATGCCTACAAAATACCAACAGAACTTAAGCTCACAACGAGCTACATGAACCGAAAAACCGCTTAAAAACTCTATAGAACCCACAGTTTCAAAAACAATGGAGGCAATGCCGCAGCCAAACTAGTCTAATTAGAAGAATGGTATGTTATGTACGAACACTAAAGCAATGTAAATGAGAAGTTGAAACAAACTGTTAAAAAGCCTAAGATTGCAAACAAAACCATAAAGAAAATAGTGTTAAGCGGTACTTCCGAATCAGAGGGACAGTTTTCTATTAAAGATAATATACGCTAGAGGAGTGAAACCAAATTTATTGCGCCGCGACAAAATTATAATAATATTCGAAAGCCAGACGACTGGGTTTAATGCATTATATGGATAAAAGTTGTGTTTAGTTATGTTGTATTAAAACTTAAGAATATTTGCAATAAATGGCGCAAGAAACTGCTTGTGCTTGAACTTCTGCCGAGAACAAAATAATGTTCCTTAACAAAGTTCATCTTTCCCGGTGAGATTCAACCATCCCGCAGATTTCCGGATAGTTAGATCAAATAACAATTTTTAATGTCCCTTTTTTGGAAGAAAATATGTCGCAGTTTTAGTTAAAATGTTTGTAATATCTATTGGTTTTATGTCAATAAAGCTATTTTTGTGAAAATAACGTCGAAAAACGCAAAGTAGTCCATCTCTCTCGGAAATAAATAAAAATACCGCATAAGTTTTGGCACCATCTACCTACTACCAACGGTTAAATAGAAAAAATAAGAAACGGCAGTATGGCATGTTTGACTTCGGAAACCGAACTTAACTTGAAAATGTATAATGGAATAGGTAAAAGCAATTTGTACTTAAGAAACCTAGCTCACTATAAAAAACTATATTTCTCTAAAAATTCAAAAGCTATGTAACAATCTGCTAACATTCATAGCATAATTACTAAAAAGTATTCCGATAGATAAAGATCATTACACATTAATTATAAAGCAATTATTTAATAAATATAATACTATGCTACTCAATACCAAATATACATTACTTCCAAAACGTAGTGAATTCTACAACTAACACCTCGCTTATCAAATGTCTGATTGATTACGTATTTGGTGTAGTATTTGTGTTGACAACATTCGGAGAAGAACTTCTGTCCCGGAAGTCACTTGATTCCTCCAAAAATCGGTCCATGAAATCGGTAACGCCCGGGTGTAAAACATATTTCTTTTTTTCCAGTCTTATCTTGTTCGCAAACATATCGTGCCTCTCGCTTTTTTTCCAGAGATAGTAAAATTGCACGAGTTCTCCAACTGACCTTGTTCGGACTTTGTTTTGTTGAGTCATCCAGAAGTTTTTCCCAAATAATCGAATTCCCGATTCGAAATTTCTGCACTCTTCTTCTGACCATATTTGCATAGTATCATCTTCATAAAGATGCTTATTGATTTGAAGCCGCCTCAATGCCTCTTCGGTATTATGGCCACATTGTTGAAGCAGATGAAGTGCTGGTTCATTATCTCTCAAATGCTTGCCAATAGGCAGTGAAGTTTTGCAAATAGTTGCAGCTTGGGTGAGAAAATCGGCAACTTCTGCAGCCGATATTGGCGTCGGGTCCCATAACAGTTTGTCGTCATTTTCGTAAGGAAGGGCGTCTCCATAAGGTGACAAGCCTTCTGGAATGACTGCCTGATAGTCTCCACCAACCATGATTGTTTTCATAATCATCGGCGTTGCTTCTTCTGGCGAATGTTTTAAGTGGAAACGATCTTCGTCCTCTTCGATCACTTTGGACCTAAGAAGTCTTGATGCATCAGGATATTTGTCGTCATATCTCTTGGGCAGTTCGTTTTCTTGGTTTTCCGTTTCATAAAACAGTTTCGAATAGTTTGGATTAGACATGTCAGAACTGGAACTCGAATCACCTAACTCCTCAAAACCAGGTTGCTCTTCAAAGTTGGTTGTAAAGTGACTTACTGATGATTTTGCTTTTATATAACCGCTGCGTGAATGAATAGCTATGGACGTTCGATAAACTTCCATTGTATGGAAACTGCTTAGATTGAAGACATCTTGGACAAGGGCTAAAAAAATTGCATTACTTAAGTATACTATTTAAATTAAGAAATGTTCATTTAATTACAAGTTTAGAAATATAACAATAAATGGAAATAAGTACTGTATTTTACCTTCAGTAGGATTGTTATTCGTCAATCGCAAAAATCACAACTGGACGCACGAGGTTTGCAACTTGTAACAATAATAAATTATATAGAATGAAGTAATTAACCTGTACAGGATATGCAAATTTTGAGCACTGTTACATTATTAGATACCTAGATATTATTATGAACAAATTGTTATTTGGGCTGCAAATTTGAGTGCGTAATTTGTGTCTAAAATTTTCCCTTCCACATTTCATAAAGCTTATCGAATTCAGACAGTACAAACACTAGTTAATTAATATTAAATATTTTAGATATTGGATTTTGATTCATGTCTCAGACTCATACAACAAAATAGTTTGAGCGAAGAAACGAGAAAATATTTTGAGAGAAGTGAATTACTGCCTCAAAAAGCAATGATGCTTCTTGTAGGAAACCTTCCTAAGCCTTAGTTTATTTCGTTGTTGAGTTGAATGTGCATTATACCAAATTTGTAGTAACCTAAGATTTAATTGTCCTTCACATAACTTAAGAAAGTTTGCAGTTTAAAGTGATATTAGTATACAATAACTGTTACTGATTTGTATTTTGCAGTTACTCACAAAACATTTAATAACGTGGTGTATAAACAAACATAGTTTTGCGACATGTGATCTTGTGGTTACAAATATCAGCTGTTTCGACATACAATTGAGTAACAAGCAACACTTTCAAGTTTAACCAGATTATTTAATTAACATCAACTTATCTTCCTGCAGACTAGAAATGACCTGGTTTGATGTTAGCTTTGGTACTTCTTGATGTTAAAAAAACTGACCCAAATGTACAATTTACCAATCATAAATGAAAATTAACTCGAACAACTGACATTTGGCCATATACGTAAAAGTTTCTTACCAAATTTCGGATTGTTTCTCAATTCTGATTCGAGATATAAAAAGCAACAACTTAGAAGACCTTAACCAAAATATTGATTTCTGTTGTAAACAAATTATGACTTAAAGGTGACGTATTGACGTGACAAAAATGACATTGACACTCAGTATCACCACTAAGCTAAAAATGATTATTTCATTTCAGGCCAGACACAATGATGTGTGACGTCAGAATCTCGGAAGGTCGATTCATTTGTAACTTATTCCCGTATTTATTAATTTTTCTTATCAAAACTTTTTGCACGATTGTTGATTTTTTAACTAACAATATCTGCTATATATCAAAAAACTTAATCTATTTCAGATTAATCGATACACTATAGTTCTTCAAATTAATTCCTCCACATGGCTAACTGTAATTCTATTAACTTTTAATTTAATTTAATATTTAAAAAATATAGGAAGTGGTGTCTTTAATAAAAAAATCTGTCAGAAACCCCCATTTTTTCCTCTTCCGTATCTTTTGCTTCTAACTTTTGCCACCTCCTCTATGTGTAGTACATACAATATGTACACTATCAAGGGTGTATATTTACTGTACACGCAGCCTTAATAAAAAAAGCCTGAAAAGTAATTGTACAGTGGACGTTAGATAGACTAAGGAATAAAACTAGTAAATATTTTCAAATTTAATAAAACACTGGGCCTATGTAAGTTGTAAATTTGCTCATGGAAGAAAACAAGTTCAAGTAATTTCAAGTTCCTATAAAGTAGAACAAATGAACACCAAAAACATGTTTAGGAACTTATAGTTGTTATAGTCAATCCTCATAATAGTTCTCTATCTATAGTTCTCAAAAGGCGTTTTCTAAATAACATCAATACTTTAATGCAAACAAGGGCAACTTTTCTTCACAAAAAACTTTGTTCATGTGACACGATTTATCACATTTTTATATTATGTATTAATTATTGCAATATAACCCCCATCACTAATGCTATGAATTCAATTCTGGGGACTATGCATCTATTTTTGAAATTTTTGTCACGTAATTTTTTTTTATAATTATTGCTGTTTTGGACATTGCGAAAGTTCAAACTTATCCTACCTTTCACAAATCCAAACTGTATCAACACGGATTTCAGCTACTACGCTTCTATAGTTTAAAGGCTGCTAAATTTCGCAATTATTGTACCTCTTGGCAAATAAAACATTGCCAAGAGGAAATGGAGATCTCAAATTATAATAAATTAATAATATAGGCAACTTTGCAGCAATAATTCTTGACTATTTTTCAAATGCATGAACCTGGTTAGGGACCAGGACGAAGACTGAACGCGTTTAAATTCATAGTTTTGTCCATGATTTAGAAGACACCCTTTAATATTTTCATAATACTTGGGAATTAATGTATATGATCTTACTTAAGTAGTTAATTTAACAAAATATGGGTATTTTACTACCAACAGTCCAAAAAGCGACATCAACTGGGGTTTTCACATAATAGATCAAATGTTCGCTCATCACCTTTTGATATGTTTCTTTTCTGAAATAAGATACCCTACGATACAATAATATTTAGCTGAATAGTGGCTATCAAAATACCAACTATGGAAGAATTGATGGTAGTGATCCTAAACTAAACACCTAAACAAACGAACAAAGTAATGCGTTTTTTCCTGAGAACTTCTCTACTCTAGCCATCATAAGCACAAACAAACAAATAAAGACATGTTATATGGTCAAACCAAACGCATTTCATATATTAACAATTTCAATAACATTAGAGCGTTTAAATTTTATGAAGACGTGTGCATCGATTCAAATTGGTTTCAAATTGAAATATTAATTTTTCTAAAAATATAGATATGCGTGTTTATTTATAGAACAACTGACTTAATTTTCGAGCAATTTTGTGCAACTTACGCAGCTGCTCAGAAATGGAATAGACAACACCCAACAATTATTTAGTTATTTGATCAGTACTATGCAAACCACAAATCTTCATAAAATGTATTTATCATTAAACTAACATTCAGTCTCACTAAAACCAAAGCCTAGACAAGAATACTGGAAAACTATGTAACGACTGGTATCTAACATTTAGCTTTGGATTTTATTAAAGTCATTTTAATTAAAACACTGTATAGATATTTAAAAAGGTACAAATCTTTACCAAAATAAGTATTATTGTAGAAATGTAATAGACAACATTATTTATTGTTTACTTTGATGTAATAGGAGCTATATATACTACAATCATTTATTATGTACAACCTTATTTGTCTAAGTTTGCTGAAATGTACTTGTATGAGGTCTAGCTCTACATTTTGGATTAAGATAGGGAATTATGCAATTTGTTAATGGAATTTATAACATGAATGAATTCATTCACGAAAACACTGGCACAGAGATAGAATATAGAAGCGTCTTTATGATTTTGCAACATTTTGATCTAGAACTTTCCTGCGAGCCACTAGTGCCTCTTCATTGTGTTTTCTGAAAAATCCTTGCTAGTAAAAAATCTACTGTTTTCATAACGTCTATAGAATAACGTAAAAATGACTTTAAAACTAAATATAAGCATTTAAATGACGTTAAACCTAAATATAAGCAAAAAATATATAAATTAGATCGTATAGAAAAAATTATACTTGAAGTATTGAAACAATAATATTGTGATTGTGTTCAATTAATCAAATTGAATAGTAACTTGATGAAGAATTTTAATCCAGTTTACAGATATATGTATTGTGAATTCCAATATTGTGAGTTATCCTCTCGATACTAGCGACTCACTCTGGAAGATTAAAGTAAGAAGAGAATCAAAGTTTAACTGTACCCACGTAGAAAAGTACCAAAAGTATGGCCACTGCTGATATTTAACTTCGTTTTGTCTTTATTTAAAAAAATATTCTTATAGTTAGAGTATTAAACACAAATTATAAAAATATATTACAGTATAAATTCAAGTATTTTTCTCTTGATGCCTACATATTTGTTTTTAAGCTAATACCAAACATTGCTTCAATCTCATTTAAAAACACTTTGAAATTTTCATTTTACTTATTAACCCGTAATAAATACATATAGACGAATCAAAAATTTAACAGTTTTAAGGAAAACTTTTGTTACCTTATTCAATCTGAAACGGTCATAAACATAACCATAAATAAAAGTTTTCCAAAATATATATCTACATGCTGTTTAATATATTGGCACATGGACTTGCACGAATAAACGCGTACATTTATAAATGTAGGTCAAAGGCATTATCGTATATGATATTGCCATTGCTCAACTCGCACTGGGTAACGCAAACTAGGGCTGCTAGAAATTAGACAGTTTTCTGAGTTGAGCAATTTAACCGGAACGTGTTCCTGAACGTGTCTAGGAGTTTTATATCGGTAAGTCACAAGACTGCAATTATCCAGGTACTTTATGGGGCTGATGCAGGTACGGATTTGTTAAGCTGCTTTTTTAATTTGTCTGAAAGCTTTGATTGAAACAACAGCTTCTGGACAATTCGTACTTCTATACTTACCAAACGTCCATTCTATACAATGTCGTTCATGAGTGGCTCGCAACTATATTCGTTCTCTATTCGACCAAAATTGATAATCGGTTGTTGAAATCGGCTTTGTACTGAAATCCTCTCAATCACACAGGAAGCTGAAAGTCTCGCTTCAGGATCAGGATCCCAACATTCCTCCATTGTGTCACATAATACGGCAAGACCCTAAAGACCAAGAAATATTTAAGATTTAAAAAAAAAAAAAAGTATCGATTGAAAAGATAATTACTGAGCAACATTAAATTACTTACCGGATGTGTGCGCCAATGCTTCTTTATGGTTGGTCGAACCTTATTTTGAACCACACTTTCTTGCATATCTTCCAATGATGGATGCCCCCCAACTTCATCTTCAAACGGAAGTCGATAATCGGGTATTGGTCCATCTTGACTCTATGTTAAATAAAGTATTAAATACATTTAATTTCGCAGTAAAATTAATCTGTGGCGGTGCATAGCAATACGCTGGGTGCACAATCTTAGAAAATCGGCAAAGGCGCTATATTTTACATTCTTTCTTCTAAAGTTAATCAAAGAAATGTTCGCCATTCTGGAAATCAAAACATCCCGATCCGATCAATGACTGGCTGACTTAATAAACCGAAACCACGACAAAATAAACGCCGTGCATTTACATATGTGGACACTGACCAGCTGAAACACCAATGTTCTCTGGACACTTGAAGGTGAAGGAAGAGCGCGGACGGAAGGTTTAACCAATCAAACTTACTATATAAATATGCAGTGAAAAAAGCAGGTAGGAGATGATCGATCACTGAACGATCACGTCGCGCTGAACGATGTGTAGAACTGAATGGTGATCATTTGGAACATAATTCAAGTCACTTTAAGTTTAGTACCATTGCTGTTTAATAATTTCACAAAGTTTTAAATTATAAAACTCTATTCATTTTAATCTATTATGGCTTTCAGATATATCTACTGTTAAAAGACACAAATCAACTTAGAAATAACCAAGTATATTTACTTGGATTTGAAAGTTCCTTACCTTGCAACGTGAAACCAACTCCCATAGAACAAGTCCACATGCGTACATGTCGATTCGCAAAAAGGCGTCAGAGGTAAAATTTATGGCCCCTTCTAAAACTTCTGGCGCCATGTATCTGGAGAAAAAAATGGAAAAATAAAATTACGAAAATGTTTAGAAACGAGATTCGTTCAAGGTATCACCTACCGTCTAGTACCAACTTGACCATGAGTGTCTCCGCAGGATTTTCCAGCTTCAAAAGTAATGGCAAGACCAAAATCAGCAATACAGGCGGTTAAGTCGCTTTTCAGCAGAACATTTTTGCTTTTAAAGTCCCGGTGTGCTATAGTAGGTTTTGAAGTTTCGCCAGGAGATTTTCCAGGTATTGCCTCATGTAGGTGCATTAAACCTGGCAAAAGTGACACACTTTAGTACGATGAGAGTGAACTTGATAAAAAAAATACCTTTACAATACACATATTTACTATTCGTTCGTAATGTTTTGTAATACGTTATTGTTTCTAATAAATTATTGCATGCAATTGTTACGAGGGAAACCTACAGTCCCATGGTATACCCGAAAACTTTCTATGGTCGCCGATTTAACCAAATGAGCGCTACCAAACTAAACCTATATGTTTACTACAAAAATGTCCGCCAATTTTTGTTTTTTTTTTTTTAAATGTAAGTCACGTTACTTTATAAACACTGTGATACGCAAGTTATGTTAAGCAGAATTAAAAATGATAATTTATTAATTTAAACCCCTAGTACACAATGAATTACTTGAAACAAATCTCACCTGTTCCCATAGTCTGGGCGATTCGACATAATTCATTCCAACTCAACGTGTTGGCCTTCAAATAATCACACAATGAACCTTTCTCATGGTAAGCTGTTATTAACCAAAACTCTGCTTGCAAATTTTCTCCCCTCTTTTCGACTCCTATATAATCCAAGATATTGGGATGAGCCATAAACGGCAGCTTAAAAATATCTTGCTCTGTTTGCCAAGATTGCTTATCCTGTTAGAAAACCATAACTCTATTATTTCCGCAAAAGGATCAAGTAAATATGTGAAATGGAAAAATAGTAAATTACATGTTGTACTAAAATCCTATACATATACCGAGTGACAATACAAAACTGACCTCAAGGTAAAAACTTCATAAAATGTTTTGTTTTCAATAAACACAAAATGTATCAATAAAGATCAATAAACACCTATTTTGACTACAACTAACCCAAACGCTGGCGAAATTTCTCTGCGTCACGCATCTCTTCTGGCGACAACCGGTTCCATTCCCGACGCAGCGACTCCAAAGTTTCTAGGCCTATAAAATAGACCACACATTTGTAGTCCATCGGATTGAGATCTGGCGAGTAGAGCGCCCATTCCGCCGACGAGATGAAATCCGGAAAATGGGTACCAGTCCTGAGTCGCTTGCGCCTTGTCGGGCGGAGCGGAGTCCTGTTGGGACGTCCAATCCGCATCGCCAAAGTGCTGCTGGGGGTCCTTGCTGATTTTGACCTCCTGTTCCATGAAAACGAGGGGGGTCTGCCGCTGGCCCAAATTCCGTCCCAAACCATAACGGCCGCGGAATTTTGGAGATGTTCGACGATGGACCGCGGACCAGCTCCTATCGTTCTATTGATTGTGAGCTCGTTCAACGGTAAACAGCTTCTCATCCGTGAAGAGGATTTTCTCCCACTGAAGGGGAGCGTGGCGACGAAGGAGTCGTTTACATCTTTCAAGTAGTACGCGCTTGTTGTCGTCGGTGAGGAGCTGAACTTTTTGGAGCTTGTAGGGCTTGAGATGGACATCCTCTATGGCTATTTGGAGGATTGATTCCCGATTGATAACATTCTTACGCGCGATTTTTCTCATGGAGACCCTCGGATTTCGCCTGGCACGTTCTCATACGAGCTCCCGGTTCGTGACGGTCCTGATTGGGCACTTTCTGCCACTTCCTGGACGGCGACCTATATGGCCCAGCTCTTCAAACCTCTTAATTGTTCGTCGGACGTTAGATTTGTCGATGCTGAGCGTTCCCGCAATATCTATCGGACGCTTTTTCAAATCATTTTTTTTCTCTTTGGTTTGGCATCTTAATAAAGTAGCTTAAAAGTGTTGATTAAAACTAAAACGGAACATGTACGTAGTATTTTTAACGGAGAATCGAATAAAAACAACAAAAACTTTGAAACTTAATAAATATGCGTGGCAATTTGGTTGCCATTTTTTTATTGTCACCCGGTACATAATGTGTGCAGATTTTACTCACTTGTATGGGAAATATTTTAACAGCAACTTCTTCGGTTTTAAATTGCGCCTTCCAAACAGCTCCAAACCGTCCGCGAGCTTTAACTTCTATCAATTGAATTGGCCTGCAATCCAGTTGAGGTGACGGAGGCGGCATAGGATGAGAATCGGTTGTTGGCAACTATAAAACGTATTATTTCAAAGAACATCATTGCATGTTTTCAAGAAGACTACAACAGTATCATAATTATATTTTCAACAAAATCAGCAAATATTTGTCGGTTAACTGGGAAGTTAGGCGCATATGGGGATAATTTCAAGTATCAAATTACAATAATTCGACACATTTGTTTTAGTTCAAGTACCTTAACTTTACAGAAAAAAAGATAATTTAAATATACCTTAAAAAGGTTGTAGCCCCTAAATCTCCACTAGTAGCATGAAAGGAAACGTTAAAATCAATAAAAGTTTACGTTAATGTCTAAAAGCTTAAACAGCCGTTCATATACATATTAGATACCAAAAGACACATTAATAATTTTTATTAAAAAATAGTTAATATTTACCGCGTCAAAGTATTGTTTCTGTCGCCGATACCAGAACACCACAACTAAAGCTAGTAACCCAACGACAGTGAGAATGGCCCCTAATACATAGTAGATAACATTCGATTCTTCTCGCACGAATACAGGAGCAGCAGCTAAATATAATATATCAATATTAAGAACAACCAAAAACATATAAGAACAACAACACACATATTCTCTTTAAACAATAAAATTTAGAAGAGCGACTTACTACTGGGTGGTTGAGCCTCTGTCGGTTCGGGTTCCCATGTGAAATTTTTATTGCACAAATCGCCCTCACAACAGCAGAAAAGCACATTATTTTTTGGACTGCCTGCTTTTTCCACACAAGTTGGCTTGTTGAAGCAAAGATCGTGGTTTAGAAAACAGCCCTTATAAAAGAAATCAATATTAATTTGATACCTGGTTTTCATTAGGAAAAATATACCTTTAGGGACACTTTTGTCGATCCATCTGGCTGAATCGCCCAGACAACAAAGCAGTGATTTCGTTTGTATTCCCCTGGAGGTTCGCATTCTTTAACAGTGCTACAACTTTCTGGTGCTGCTGCACAACTGCTATTGTAAAATTCACACTTCGTTGTAAGTGATGCTTCCGTCACTAGCATTCCTGGATTAAGTTTAATTCATGAAATTCACAATAATGGGATCATGTTTTTTTTAATAGTAAGTACGTGATATGCCCAAGTCGAGAAATAAGCTTTATCTGCCGAATTTTAAACTAGCACTTTTATATCCTGAGGCGCGTAGCAAATCCAAATTAAAACCCACATATTAACGTGCGAGGTATTTAAGTACCTAATAGCCTTCTCGAACGAAGCATGTCAACATTTTCTTACTACTAACACTGTTATATTCTGCTAATTAATTTAATTACATTTTGAATAATCCTCTAATTTTCTGAAATATCGCGTTAATTGATAGCCTGGCGTGCAATTGTTTTAACATAATTTGTCAGTATCCAAAAAAAGATGAAAGTTCTTCTCAGTTCTTCGAGAAAAACGAAAAATGAGTTAATATTTAAGTAACAGTGAATTAAAAGGAGAAATGAATGAAACGGTAAACTTACCCAAACGGAAAAAAATAAAAAACTTTGATAAAATTCCATTATTTATCTAGGTATTTTGTTATGGTAAAACCCTTTTAATCCGGACTTCCAGTAATTTTAAGCAATCTTAAAGCGAGTGCTGGGTGATTTGCTAAATTAAAAAACCGATATGGGATTCGACAATTGTCTACCACAGGCGAAAAAATATACAGTGACGCGGGAGCCATAGAGCCTGATTCAAAGAACTGTTTCGAAACAAAGTCGGGGAAATGCAGTTGTTGCACCAAATTTATAATGCAGGCAAAAGTGGCATTTTTTGGAAATGATTCTCTCAAAAGACAATTGCTTATCCATCTGAGGCATAGACCAGGTAGAAAAATGAGCAAGGAAAGCATTACATGTATGCCTTGTTCAAACGCCTTTGAGACTCATAAAATCAAATTGGTAGTGTTAGGCAGATCTGAAAATCCTGGTTTTTCGGAAATGAATAGTTACCGATGACTTACCAAGGACAGAAGAAGGGTCAACAAAGATATTTTTTTAAATGGTTCTACAGATTTTCTTACTGCAGTTCGAAAAGAAATGCGAGAGCTGAGTTTACATGCAAAGGTTCTTCTAATTTTATATCATCCACCAGAAAAGAGCCCAGCCCCTGAAAATTTTTTTTCAGATGACAAACAAATTGTTGCCTTCTCGTACCCACCTACTGTAACGCCAGTAGTCAACACCGTCTTAAAAACTTACTGTTCTTACATTAGTGCAACCCATGGATCAAAATGTTATTCGAGCGAATAAGTTGCATTACTTATGCCTTTAAACTGTCTCTTATAACGGATTGTCGCTTCCGAAAGTGGGGATGTATCTGCAGAATTTAGCAAAATTAATCTAAAAGATGTTATAATTGAACTGGCAAGGCTTGAGAAACTGTGGGACCCCAACTTATATAGAAGTCATAGAGTAAACTCATTGAGTAACAAGTTGATAGTTGGGATGAGGAACACCTTCTTCCATTGTCTGCGTGGAATTATAGAGGAACATTAGAAGGCATCCACATAAAAGTAACGGATGTTACTGGATTGTTAAACCAATTTACGAGGATTTTAAACATTAGGAAGTTATTAATTGGGCCAAGAAGAGTCATGGAAATTTATAAATAATATGGATATTTTGAAATATGTTCAGGATGAACTACGCTCGAGCTCTGACGAAACGTCCACATGACAGAGAGACAGTCAAGTTTCGATATGAACAAAATGGGCTTTGTGAACTTCTGAATCAGAATACCATGTTTTAGCTTTATCATAAATTAAAAACGGGCTTTTAAGACAGCGCAGAGATACAAAACTAACTAAAATCACTATTTTTTTTACATCGACTTAGATTCACACATGTAGGTACTTGACGATAACCTATATGTAAGCCATTTTATGTACATGTTAAATCCATTCAGAAGAACGTGGAGGTTGCCCCCAGGTTAAAATCCTGTATACACCACTGCATTATTTATGAATCCCTATAGAATCCGAATAGAAGACGTGAGGAAATTCTGCGTTTTTAAAAGACAAGAGATTTTCAAAATTTCGGGACATACCTTTGCACAAACTTTTCATATCGAATGTGGCTCAGGATATCATTTCTTTACCATCGATACAGATACGGTTACGAAAAATTGCACTATTTTGTAAGGTGTTTTAAAATAAGATGCCAAAACAAAATATACATTCGATATAGTCCTACCTAAGACATATTCAGTTGCACAAACACTGACAAAAAGTCGCATGAAGAGGATGGATCAAACTGTTATCTAGTATACATTGCTTTACCTTTCTACGTTACGTTAAAATGTGCAGAGTTCAAAATATGCCTTAGCATCTAAGTTTGTGTAAGTTTACAAACTACTCAAATCTATGCCTGAAACACTTACCATGCACAAACGTAGTCAATTCCAAGAGAAATATTCCACTCACAGCAACGTGAATCCAGAAATTCATTTTAAAAGTTGTACTTAACTTAAATAGTGCCAATAAAACAAAGTCTATGCAACATATTTATCCTATGTTGATGAAAACATTGGCCCAGCTGAAGAAATAAGGCGCAATTACCAGCCCTTCTCAGCAGCTGAGGGACAGCCTGCACAAATCACTGTATACGATTCACGTTAATCCGTTAATCTATATTTTCTAGCTAGTGCGGTAAAAAATGGAGAATTAAGATAATTTTATATTTAAACGAAACCCGTTTTTGCCATCCACCATTACGAGATATCACTCGGGATGTGAAAGATGAGCGCCAATGTTGCCGATTTTCTTTGCAAGTTTTGAGATTCCTTAGAATTAAATAGTAATAAACTGACCTTTTCAAAAAGGATGCTCTTCACAATAAAAAACTCAACATATTTTTCTTTAAAAAAATATATTGAAATTGTTAATAGTAGTAATAGTATAATTTTTTTTAATTTTAAAATTAGTTTTAACAGTACGGGGGACCCATGAAAATCTACATATCAAACTTAAGCTTTTTGAGACACTTAAGAAACACTTGGTTATATTTATTTAAAAATCAAGGGTTTATTTTTAGAAAAATCGCATGAACCAGTCGATTTTTGACTCAAAAAAATTCACCATGTGTAAATAAAAATTGGGTCCAGAAAATGCGCAATTAAAAGCAAAATACTACATTTTAACATTTTTTGTGTGACAATTTCAATAGAAAAATAAATATAAAAAATGTGTTAATAGGAATAAGCAATAGTTTAGAAAATGGCAAGTTTTTTTCATATCATGTGGCAAAATATGTGCAGGATTTAACTCAAAAATGTTTATGTGAAATATGCTGCTAATTAAATGTTTTTTTAAGACAGCTAGAACCTACTTTCGACTTTTCACACTTTGCATGCAGTTTCTTTATTATTAAGATTTAAAGGGTTGGTAAAAGATCCGCATTTATTTAGAATTTTTACATTTTGCGTGACAATTAGAAATAATTCTAGAATTATCTTTGGTATTTATTTGATCGAAAGAGCGAAATTTAATGTTCTATCCTGCAATGCCAACTAGAGCTTTTCAGCTCAATAGCTGTCTAAATATGAGGCAAAGACTAAGAGAGGTTTTAAGGACGCTTTAATTTTAAATTTTTGCTTTCTGCATGAAAACTAGAAGCATTCCTAAGACGATGTTTGATGCAAAAATTTGCAAGTTTTCCGATTCTATTCCGCAATGTGAACTAGAGCTATGTAACTCTGCCCGTTCTCTAAATTTGAGCAAAAGTTTGGAGCGGTTTTTCAGGTTTGTTTTATTTTGTATTGCCGAATTCTTTTTTATTACAACGCTAATGCTAAATATTTAGTATTATATTGTCTTTTTATAAATTAGATTGCGTCATATTGCGCACATTGTGCAATTATGCACTACCCACTCTACTTTATTGAAATTTATTTTTATTTTTGCCATTTTTTGCGGTTGGTCCCGCGGTAGGACTTTAGAATGTTCACAAAAAGTGGAGTCCGAAAAAGTGCACACTTTTAGAGAAGTCAGTTGCAACAAAAAGTTTAGATAATGAGGACTGGTAACTGGAAGCCAAAAAACTGTACTTATTTCATAAATTCAAGCCTGAGCAGTCATCCAAATAAACGTTTTCAATACCTTTATGTTTATGATATATGAGTTGTTCTATTGAAAAAAATTGTTTGTGACTTTTCTTGTAGCACCTGAAACCATTGTAATTCACTTGAAACTTTCTATGTCATCGAGGATGGACTTGAAAAGCCGATTCGGTTTCTCCTGAAGTAAAATGGGCCACCCTGTAGTGGAAAGCACTTGCCCGCGTAAAATCCCAGTTTATGTAAGACTTATGACAACTTGGCAGCGCTGAGTGGGAAGATTGACATTGACAACATATTTTCGAAAAAATCAAGAAATCTGATTTTTAAAGTATGAAAAATAACTATGTCACATGTTTCTCTGTCTTATGTTTCTGGACTGAGCCATCTTGAAGAATCGCGGATGGAAACAAAAATTGAGGTAGGAACAGGTAGGAATGTCATAAGGAAACAACGCACAACAGTGTACGACATTCCAGTGACATTAAAGACGTCAACTAGATTACAATGTTTTTATAAATAAATATAATTCCAATAAGTAAATTTGTGGATGGCATGAATCCAATAATAACAATACCGAGGTGGTAAATCGACGAAATTATATTCATTAGTAAGCTGTAATATGAGTGTTGATTTTTAGTGCTGTTTTATGGTTGAACTAGTGTTTCGCCCAAGAGAAGTGGATTCAGGGCCACATCATTTGAGTAATTCATAAATGAACATTGTTTTTGAATGATAAAATGTCATTGATTGAAGGTATTGGAGACGAAGTAATCCAATTTTTTATTATTCTGTTTGCAGCTGTTCTCGGTAAGTTTCTGAATTCTGTTAATAAACTTATGCGCTATCCCCAAAACCTCTAAATAGGTCGGGGGGTGTGTGCATATGTTTAAAACATTACATACAAAACACAACATGTAGTGCGTACTTTTATCTCGATCATATTGCTATTATAATTATGAGTGTTATGAATGTGATATAAGAATAGTTGCATTGTCATTTTACCACTGGGTGGCAAAGCGAAAGTCATTTAATTATTTCATCTATAGCGAACGTATTAAGTACTGAATCTACAAGTGTATTAACTATTTTTGATAGATAAGACTAAACAGTCCAAGTGTTCCAGTGTTCCTGAAAAAGTTATAATAGCTCTATAAACAAATTTTAATATTACTTAAAATTAGGTCAGCTTAAACAATTCTTAAGGCCGATTTAAAGACCCAAATCTGGTACAAGCGCATGCAAAGTGAGCTTTTCAAACCTGCCTGTAAGATTATAGAAATATCCGCGTGCTTGTGAAATAAATATTTTTAGCATGAACTATTTACTTGGTTTATGCTAACCATTGAATGGTAACTGATTTGCACGTATTATTCACTACAATTATCTCTCTAAACGTAGGCAATACACAAGAATATAGTTATCATTATTAGAACGAATTTGAAAACAAGGTCTTTGGTACGCCAACACCGATTGATTGGAATTGCCATGTATAAAGTACAACTGCTCAATTAAATATTCAATTTCATATTCCAAATTCAGCGGGACGGAAAATAAGAATTTCAAATAGTAATTGTTAGGGACATCAAGCCTTTGTGTGCTCCGCTGAAAATGTGCTCACCTAATAGGTAATACTTTCATTAACAGTTTTTGTTAGTGGTGTTTTTAGCGAAAATGCTGCTTTTGGCCACTTGTGTTGAAACCACAGCCTTTAGAAACAATTAATTAATTCAATATTTGAAATAAAATTTGAAGGGGGCCGTAATTATTAAATAATTAAAAACATAAACGGAATGCAGTCGTGGTTAGCACAAAGGAATGGGCCGGAATTTGCAAAACAGCTTTTAATTCTAAAACTTCACTAAATCAACTGCTCTCTTCAACGTCTGTATGACGAATTTTCAGGTCGTTTGGCTTTGTACACTCGAATCGTATAGGAAAAGGTAAAAAATTTGTATTTCTGTTCATACTTAGATAAAATACATTAAGTTTTGTAATATATTTTTCTTTTCTTTTTTTTTTAAACAGATGCGTTTTAATTTAAATTTTTGGGTATATGTTTATTTGTTACGTGTAAAAAATCAATCCATTCAAATCATGATATAGATCAACAATACCCTAAATAAAACATCTTTTGAATAAATTAGTTTATTGCTTTGATTAATTAAGAAAACGCGTTTGTCCCGAAAAGCAAAAGATGATGCGGAAAATTATCATAACATAAAAAAACTACTATTTCTTATGTTACATACAATTTCTACATGTTTTTTTAAATATAAAATGTTCAACGCCTTACATCTCTGTCAACTAAACATTAATATCCATAAATCTTGCAATGTAATCCATAACCGGAAAATAATGTTTTGTTATACCGTGTAAAATGTCCAACTTGTGAAATTTGCAAAATTACTGTGGAGAGCTAAAATTGTTTTCATACATTGTTTCGTTTTTGTTATTGTTTGTGTTAATTTTAGCTTATGTTGCTTGGTGGTCAACTATCATATCTGATCAGAGACAATTTCGAACTGTTTTGCTAGTCGATCGTAGGAGACGGGCTAGGTCGATAATAACAGCGAGGATTCCTTTTAGGCAATTAAGCAATCATATAGAAACACTCACAATTGCTTCCGGTAAGTTTTAATTTTTTTTATTTCTTAACTTCTGAGAACTGTTTCACAAATCAGTTTTACTTTAATTAATCTTAAAAACAAATATAACTTGCATTTATTTAAATAACTATGACTTATCGACTGACGCCCATTCTTTAGTAGCGCTTTATATAAATTTATCAGTACCAATTAGCAAGAATGATTTTTCTCTACCTTTTCTGTATTGTTAAGTCATCGTCCAAAGAATGGCCCGCAATAAATAAATGAACACTGGTTTTCCTAAAGGTGTGTTAAGTGATTCAATTATCTTCTCTTAACTTATTGGGGATCTGAATTATTTGCTAGGCATCGATGCATTACATATTTTAACATATAAGTATGCAAAAAGTGATGATTTTTAGTAACCCCAGTCAACACTGGGGATTCCTTACCACGCGATCCAACCTCCGCCAATTCATCTATAACCGCTGAAGAAGAACATTCTTCTCAACCACCAACTGCAGAACCCGTACAAGACCCGTTGCAAGCAGCATCAAGCTCATCACAGTTACAAAGGGCAGATGAACACAAACAAGACGCAAGTAGACCAGCATTGCATGATAGTGAGGAAAACGATATCATTGAGACAATGGATGCCGATGCACAGAACGATTTAAGACAAAGGCGAATAGCTCATTTCGAAGGAAACGGTATAAAAATTATTTTTTTACGCTCTAAAAAGCATTAGTAATTCTATTCCGCTTACTTTAGTGCCATCTAATGCTGATCAGGTAGCCCAGTCAATTCCTAATAGAGGATGTGAAGCCAATAATAAGGATTCACAGAGCTCTGATATAGAAAAGAAAGACATCGTTCAACCAACTGGAAATAATAAATCTTCTGATACTATCACTATCAAATTAAAATATATCAATGATGATATAAAAACTGTAGATGGCAGACTGGAGGAACCTTTAGGCGATTTCAAAAGGTTAAGAAGTTTTAATTTCTAATTAAATCCAATTTCAATATAGAAGAACGTTTGAATGGTTTTGTGTGTGAATGTTTAAAGAGTTAAAATGTTGAATGACTCAAAACTCTTCCTGTTTCACGCTCCTATTTCCGTTCCGTTCCGTCCTATTTCTCTATTCATGGAACATTTTAGATGAATGAAACTTGAAGCAAACGTTTTTATTTCTTTGTTGCAGGAGGCACTTCGAGGAGGAAATGCATTCAAATAAAGAAATAAAACTAATCTTTAATGGACACGTTTTGAAGCAGGATCGTCATACTCTTAAGTGTTGCGGTCTCTTTGATAATTGCGTGGTGCACTGTTTGGTTCATCAAAAGAGACCTTCGAATAATAACAGCATGCAATCTGAAGAAAATCTCGATGATATAACACCTCCATTTTTAATGACGGATCCTTTGCCACATATAATAAATGGTAATAATAATAATCAGGGAATAGATTGGGATTTGGGCAACGCCTTGTTTGCTATCGTCAGCTTTGTTTTATTGGCAGCTTGGTACTTCAGGTATGTATTTAATTCTACAAATTTATTGACATTGAAAGTGTTTTATCAAAATTACATTGTTTAGCCTAATTACTCATATGACAAATATACCAATCGTACATGTGCAAATATAGTTTGAGCTGTTTCAATCATCGTTATTTTGAGATTGAAAAAAATATATATTTTTTTCGTTTTTCAATCGTAAGAAGTGGACTGTTCTAGAAAAAAAAATAGTTTGGGTTCCAAAAAAGCTTATTCTTTGTGCCCAAATAAGATGTATTCTCGTCGTGTGTTTTGCACGCTAACTCCAGTTTAAAATTGCGATCGTTGACACGCCGGCTTTAAGCTCCCTTTTAAAGTTAAATATTTATTTTAGATATGTTTATGCACAACTTTATACTGTAACAGCAACTGTTGGATTGATTATTGTCACAGGTGTGTTTACGATCGTATTAGTCGGTGCTTACTTGCCGAATGATGAATACGACACACCAGACACGAATTTGCGAATACGACTCACTAGAACGGAAAGAGTAGAAGTGCAGCAATAATGGAATCTTGTGCAATGTATCACGATCACCATAATAATACAAAAAATGCTTAAACGAATTTGTGTTTTCATTTCAATGAAACCCATATATGAACTCTACAAACAATTTCTAGGTTTTTTCAGTGCCTACATTAGTTTGTAATGCTTGGTTGGTGTTGCGATTATTTGGACTATTGGGTATCGCATATGTACTAGTGCTCGGAATTTAAAAAAATCTGAAATTTGAACACTCGTTTGGTGGTTTATTCGAATAGTAAAATTATTCGAATACTCGAATGTCTAACGAATATTCGAATACCATAAAATCAGCGAGTCACCAAAACACACACGTAATTTTATATTCATTTGCAGGAGGGTAAATGATTATTTTCATATGATTGTAAATATATGGGTATTTGTTTAAATGTTTTTTTTTAATGTTTTTACAATGTATAAATATGAATAATTTATTTTATAAAGGTATACAAAGTGCATATAAAGATACCTTGTGAGTTTAATAATGTTGGTGAATTCGAATATTCGAGTTATGATTAGACATAATTATTCGCTTTTTGAATTAGAATCATTGAATACTCGAATTATTCGAGTTTGATTCCAAGCCCTAATATGTACGCTTCTAAATTGAATTTGTCATGTAAGTGTAAGGTTTTATACGGCCCTGTGTATGTACAATAAATCGCTAATGTACACACGATTTAAAAAAAAGTTCATTCGGGTGAAAATTAACTGGATAGTGGCCAAACTAAAAGGGCGTTATGATACTTCGCAATTACAACGTAAAATTATAATCACTTTTCAAACAACTTCTCACTACTTATTTGGGATTTGTTCTACTTTGTTAAAATCTTTTAGAAATCGCATGTACAATTTCTGGGCTTAATCGTATAATAATTTACCATCATTCAAGATTCATAGAGTAAACTTTTTTCCCCTTTAATAAAGCCGTAAATTAATCCAAAATAGAGCCATATGAAGAAGAATGTTTAATAGAAATCAAGAGTAATAAAAACCGAATTGAATAGCACAATAAACAAGGCTGGTCAAAGAACATTAATTTTAATTTAAACATTGCGTTAAAAAATATAAATTAACTACATGTAATGGATAATTACTATTGAGTCTAAACAAATCAATGGTTACATCTAAGGGAAAATCGGCTTTGGCTACATTCGAGTAGAAGTTTTGAAAACGAAAGAAGTTTCTGAGACAATATGATAATTACATAATTTAGCAAAGTACAATGGCTCGGAAATAATGCTTATTAATAATGACCCACATTTCATTAGCTCTGGAATTTTAATTGACTTGGCAAGAATGTCGTCATTTGATGTTGGTTTAATCGTCTATTTCTTCTATTCTCTGTTTATAATGTAACTCAGTATCTATTTTCATGGTTGATCATTTCCTGCCACTACTTTTTTAAATAAGTTTACTACAAAAACCGGATTTTCCAGCTAAATTTGAGATGCTAAAGTGTATGCCAATATCAGGCATTTCAGTAAAAACATGTGTAGGAATATTTCGCCACATAATTCGTATATTATCTATTAGCTTTTATTTGAATAGAATAATTTATATAATTAACAAAGATTCCCTTTTATAAACCATGCTATTTTTTGGGCCCTTTAATTACCTTTCAATTTATTTTGCTTTATTCTATGACTATGGCAATTCGAAAAGATGTTTAGAAATTTTTAGCTTTGTATTTCGTCAATACAGGCCAAAAAATATAATTCAGGAACTGTTCAAAGGGACCTCCAGCTAGGATGCGAGAAACTAATCGATTCCTCATTTACCGCAAAGCCACTGATTTTTGCTGCAGACCTCCCATTCGGTTTATTGTCTCTTCCTTTCCATAGGAAAAAAACGATAACAAAATACCGATAAGTGAAACATAAATTTAAAAAGAAATGATACCTATTTTCTTACTCATTTGTGCACTTTTGCAATATGCTTCTAGTGTACCTTTTCAATGCCTACAAGAGCTGTTATCTTGTTAACTAATTTACCTTTTTTGGGAATGTAAGTAGGTACAATCTTTCTGGTATAATTTTTAAAAGGTAAATTTCCTTAAGCAAACACATTCAATAAGCTGTAAACATCCATATACCAGGTATTTATTTTTTTAATCTTCCAGAAAGTAGATTTTTTAGTCTGCCACATGCGATACCCTCATAAAATAGGGAACGGTCGGCGGACTCTCGCACGTGACAAAGAAAGGTTTCAACCCAGACGAAAGCACTTACTCGTCTTTATCTATGGACGAAAGGTGTGTTTAACATTCGGGGGATCATCCCTTGATCGCTGCTAGTTTTTCACCAGTAGCCGCATATGTGAATCATAAGTCAATCAACTTGGTTTACGTAAGCAGTCATCACCAACAAACATCTGTTAATTTCAGTTTGCCGCTCAATGGTAATTAAATTAAGTATAGTTTCTTGATGTTCGAGAGCACTGTTTAAATGATGGAAAATACTAAGTAATTTTGCTTGGTTCTCCAAGTGCCCAGTATAGAATAATTGGGATTATTTCGAGCTTTGCTATTAAGCATTACCTAATATCGCTCAACTATAAATTTAATCTGTATTTTCAACAAATTTTCAGATTTTATTTAACAATTTAGCAACTAGTTGCAAAATTGTAATATTATTCAGAAAATGCCCTTCTCGATACTGTGCAAAATTCATACATCAATATGTTAAACTATGTTTAAGCGAACACTCCTAGCTTAAAATAATTTCTCAGTTCAAGGTGGAACCGGCGCTTGAAATTATCCTTGAACTATTTTTCTAGGTAATCCATGGTTCCCGTCATTAGCCATTATTTTATCAGCACATTATGCCGTGGTATTAGGAAACTAGCCAACGGTATTAAGCTTCCAAATTTTCCAAAGAATATGTGCGTATTTCCGAAATACACTAGTGTTTTTAGTTATAGAAGCTTTTAATGAAAAATAATATAATTTTCGCAAATGTTGATCATTATCACATAATCTATATTATTCATAGCATTATGGCTCTCGAAGAAAATTAATATACCTATACAATAAATTTATACTGTATTGTATTTTTTTATTCTATAAAGTGTTAAATTAGGTTAAACACAATATAGGTAACTAATATGAAAATTAGGATAAGCAAGGTTTTAATAAGAAAAGAGGACTTTCCTCCATTAACTTCTGTTCGAGTTTCTTTAGTGTTTTTTCTACCGATCAGGAAAGCTGCCTGTTTTGTATATACCTACACAATAGACAATGGGACAAAAAGCTTTCCGACTTATCCATTACTAGTATGTTCTGAAAGAGACATTTCGAAAGAAATAGGTATATCAGAGGTAATTTACAGAATTTATTTATTTATTCGCGATTATAGGTATGAATACATTGTAAATATGAAAAATAAACAGAATGTAGAACCGAATCCTGTGAGTTTCCGTAATCAATGCCATTACGAATCAAAAACTTACATAGAGAAAAAATACAGTCGTTTTTGAAATATAAAAAATTGTACTTTTTAATATAAGCTAAAAGTAAATTACTTCGTTAGATCACGAGCAACTACAGAAGGAGCGAAAATTATAGAATAACCCAATGTCTCGTTTATGTTTACGTGAGACACCCTACAGGGTATACATGTATATCTCTCTGGGATTGAACTTGATTATTTAAGCACTCCAGCTCTGATTTATTTCATTTACAATTTATCGAAGTATACGGAGTGTCTTGAAATTGACCTCATTTTACTGGGAGATCTAGTTACTCGATTAAAGAAAAAATAATTTTTGGAAATTGCAAAAAAACTACTCAGACATTTGGCCACAGTCTCAGATTTAAATTACTAATGTCTTTGGCCACCGTGTATTTAATTCGCACCTGCAAAAGACGTTTTTCGAATTAACATAATGCAGCCACCTGTCGCTTTATGCATAAATCAATACAGGTAACAGGTGAAACTAAAAGGCAATTTAAAAAAACATTAATCATTAGGTCATGGTGCAACAAAAAATTTGATCTAAAATCAGTTGAGCAAAGCTTTATATTTTAAAATTTACAAATTCAATTGAATTTCCAATACAATTTCAATGTTTCCACTTATTACCTGCAAGAGTTGTATCACAGAAGTGCACCACTTCTCTTCATATCAACATTTCACAACATCAGTTTCCATTTCTTATATGAAGTTCGAATCTGCAGAATTTGATGTTTAAATGGAAAGGTTTGTGGGAAAATTTGAAATCCTTATTAAACGATAGTAACGTAACCTTTCTTCCAAAGTCTTGTGCTCCTGTGTAAAACTCCTTGGTCGAACATTATCAAGTTCAGCATGGTCTTAGTTGTTTTTTATGAGTACCTTCAGCTCTCTACTCTACAGTACTCGTCTTTATCTATGACCTTCAGTAGGACTTCAGTAATCAGCAGACTCCGTCACGTTCTTTGATGATTTTTCTATTGGCCATTAGCATTGCTTGAAATTGCTTGAAATACATAACAGACTGTGATATTGGAGATTTCACCAATTGAGAGTCTTCTCAAAGAAGGCAAATTTGTGGCATTTCTTACATTGTTGAACATTTAAAGCTTTGAGGAGCACCGTATAAAAACTAACCGCAAATATTCTGTACGGATGACATGTTTGTCAACAAATATCTGCTGGGATGCCGTTGTGATATTTCATAAAAATACAGAATATTATTTTGACCAAATAGAGATTTCCTTTATATTGAAGCAAGTTTTGCAATGATTTTAAAATATTTAAAGTATTTTGCGCAACATAACAGATCAACAACCTTTCTTTAAAATATTGCTTAATAACAAAATTGAAATTATTCGAGAAATAAGCTAAACACTTTTTTTTTCGGAACTCATTTTAGTAAGCTCCAGGAACCCGTCATTAGAAATTACTCTAATTTTGAATCACAGTGTACTATTGAGTGTTAATCATTATGCTTGCAAAAACTCTCTGAAGTACTTCTAAGGACTTTTTGAAAACTTGGCAACAGTACAATAACGTCCATCCTGCACAGTTTTATTTATCGTCGCTGTGGTGTTGTACGCAGGCGGTCGTGACAGTTTAATATGGCGTCGTGATATGATTGTGGCATCCGCAATGTTTTCGTGTTTTTAAGTAGACATTTGCGAAATAAACCGAAAACGAACACTATCCGTTTCACTTAAGTGTTCCTTATTTTGTGTATGTTTCTGGAGTGTTGTTGTTACCGGGATTCGGTTTGCGAGGAGAACATTTGGCAGGTGTAGTGACATTCAGTTGTATTTTTATCAAGGATATTCCAAGCTCAGCACAATAGAAAGTAATTACTGGTTTGTTCCACTATTTATGCATGTTTAGAAGACGATTCGGCCGTATGTAGAAAGCTGGACAATTGCATCGGATATAAATGCATTATGTTCTTCTCTACAATCTTACTTTCCAATGGCACACCCTTGTATGTTAAAATTCTGGTGCTTTTGATTGCCTATACAATGAATTAAATTTTTATATTCCTTACAAATGAAAGCGCCATTTCCTGTATGATTTTCTCTAATTCCAATGTGTTTATTTACTTTTGGCGTTTGTTTACATACAAAGACATGCTATTGGTAAATCCGGTGCAAATAAACAATTTTCTTTCATCCCGGCTTATACCTATGTCATATATTTAAGAACGTTATTTGTTCAATTGTTTGATACATATTTAAATACTCATCTCATCCTGGAATTGTTCTGCCTACACATTCAGCAAATTGTTCCCCAGATAAATCTGTTTAGTCAATTACACATCCGGAGTTCAAATCTCTCAATCTCAACCTGTACATAAGACATATCAACCTGTCTTAAATTAGGTGGAATTACCACAATGTATAAATAGAAGCGACAACATTTTTACGTCTTTATTGCTTACTTTAAAGATTGAATGATCTGACATTAATACTTATCACTAGTACTACTTGCTTACCACTAAATTTGGAAGTACCTATAACGCAAATTCATAAGTAATAAAAGCCTCTTTTACCCAAATTGGCTTACATCCGGTGATTTACTAGTTTTAACACAAAACAATTCAAATTGCTGCATCAGAAAACCTACTGCTTTTAAAAATACTTACTAGAGCCTATTTTATTTATATTTCCTGTACTTCAGACGTACCTACAACACAACTGATATGAAAAGATTACTAACCTGTGTTCTATTGTGGCTTCAAGTGTATAGATTTTGTGCCAGAAAAGATCTCATTTAATAGCTTTATAGCCGATGTAACCTTTCACCAACAGATCTAGAAAAATAAATCATTGAACGAACTGGAATTATTGCAGCTATCGTGAAGATGACTTTGCTCAGGAAAAGGCATTTCCGGTATTATAATTAGACTGAGTTTTAGGACAAAAACATTGACGATCGAGTATTCCTCAGAATTGTGAACCCGTCATATATCCAGATCAACTGACAATATGGAATTAGAAAAACGTGAAAGCTAAACTATATCTGATGAGTCATACCCTCATTGCTAGGATGTTTTGAAAATTAAAAATTATCTTGTCCTCTTGAGAGTAAAGAAACTTTTTAGTCTCCAAAAAGAAAGACTCGGGCTTGAGAGACAGTTGAAAAGTGCTTGTACATTTTTCCGTCGTAAGGCTTTGTTAACAATTTCTAAACCAGAAGAAGACCTAAAAATAACTGTTTCCTGTGTGCTTGGATTTATTAATGATTCCAAACAACGTTTTGAAGATATCGAACTAAAACTTGGCGCACACCCACTGTTTCATAGTGCGACTCTAATAATGGACGTCCAAATCACACCAAAATTACTATCAACATTTTACAAATTTTTCTGATTTGATTCAGATTAAAAGCCGCTGATAATATAGCATCTATCGTGAGGAACGTTTTGAAATGACATATGCTGAACTAAATTTTAGTCTATTGCCTCGTCAGTCTTCCTACAAAAAATGTGTCTCCAGAACAACTGAAAATCGCGGATCAGTTTTGATAGTTTGTCGTGAGAACAATGTTTAATTGAAAAATATCATAATTAAAGGGCCCTCGAGGATTTAATCTCAGGAACGGTCATATTAAGTACATACATATATCCAATCCATCGTCATTCGTTAAAATTCAATAATAGAGTCTTTCTTCCATAGTATTTTCTTAATTAGATTTTGATCAGAAATTCCTAATCTTTAAATAAGTAGGATAAAGAATAGAAAGCTTAAAAGATAAAGACAACTTAAGAATATGTATCCTACAACATTTGTAGGCAAGTCTTCAAAGTGCTATTTTCCTTTTAGGAGATGAAGTAAAAAAATTACTTACAGCAAATAGACTCGGATTGGACAGACATTTGGGAAATACTTGTACAATTTCAGTTAAGTATATCTCGGAAGCGATTAAAAGCATCGGAATGAACATTAGGGTGTTATCGATAAAGGGTCTTGATAACTACATTTTAACTTTATCATTATGCCAATTAGCTAATTAGTATGGTTTTGAATAACCATACTGTTTGAAACCTATATCTTGGAAACGGCTCAATATATCTGATTTGTCCTAATGAACTTTTTGATAATTTCTTTCGAAAACTGCATTTGCTTAATTATGCTTTAGAAGTAAAACCTGCCAAGTGAATTGCAACACTTTAAAAACTGTTAACCATTTGCATTCATACCGAATATTTGCGTTATTCACTTACCTAGATTTTTTAAAGTTCTCAGATCGTTCCTAAAAGACACAAAAATTGTTAGTTGTAGTAAGATTCGCCGCTAGTCCTTTCATTAATTGCCGCAAAAACTATTTTCTTTGGAAATATAAAATCATTTGTGCTTACTTAAGATTTGTTTTCATATTGAAATTGAGTAATATGAAACAATGCTTTTATGAAAATAATGAACATTTTTTCCAAGTTTGACAAATTTTTTAAATTATAACTAAAAAGTTTAACGCCAAGGCGCCACTTTGAGGTCAAAGTCTTCCTAATGTAGGCCGTAATCTTTTTATATTTCGAAGACAATGGGTGGTACAGCCTGCTTGTTTGTTAATTAGGTTTTTGAATTTCATAAAACAGTCGAGGAAATTTGATTTAAGTAGATGGTGATTAGAGATTGAAAAGCGTTCTGGTTGTGCGCATTTTAAATTATGCTACATTCAACACATTTATGTATCCTGCACTTTTAAGGTGTTGAGTGTTTTCAGATTAAAGCTTGATGTTTACTTCTAGCAACCCGGAGGCGCCAGAAACATGAGTTATATTTTGGACTTTGGAATTTTCCTTCTTAAAAAACTTTATTTTCACAAATACAGTACTTCCCTTAGCTCTGACTTTCTCTGACTACAATAATTATGCGTTTAGCAAGTATATATAAGTTACAAAATGCAAGTTAGCTTAAATTATGATAGTTCGGGCAGTTTCGAGGTTTAAGCGTCACGTAACTCATGTGAAAAGTTTCTTAAATTAAATTAGCCAAGTCAATTTTTTTACCAAGAATATATTTTGTCCAAAAATTTCCAAGCAGAACTAAGTAGTTATACAAAGATAGGTTTTTGTTGGATGTCGATTTTTATGTGTATATTCCATAAGGCATAGTAGTAAATATGAAAGGAAAATCACGACATTTCATAAAGTTAACTCTTTATGAAAACTCTGGTTTATATGATTGTCGATTCACCAGTTTAGCCTTAAGAATCTATTTTTATGTAATATAATCACTAAATAATGGTGTTCAGTTGACATTGGAATATTGTTGTAGGCCAGACATTATCAGACGTCGTTCCTCTATAGACTGACTTAATTTAGGTCACAAGTTGGCCATTCTTACTTCGAATGATTAAAGTGAGGATTTCAGATTGTATTTTATGTTATGACTTCTTAGTTCAGTTTATTTTAGTTGTTTCGTCCTCTCATTGTGTGTATCCCACACAATACGCTTATCAAAAAGAGTTGATTTCAGCTTGGAAAAATTGTAAAACTAATGAGTTTTAACGAACAAAGCAAGAAAAATCATTAAATAATTTTTATTATAAATGCAACGGCAGAAAAACCGATTTTTTACGGCAGAAAAACCGACAGCCTTTTTCGATAGAAATAAAGATTAAATTATTATTATTACACTTTTTATATATATATTAAAGTCAAGTGGTGGGTACGTAGGTATATTGATTAATCGGAAACGTGTTTTCCATTTGAGTAGATTGTTTAAATATTTTTAACGTGTTATCAGTTGATATTACAATGCGCATTTTCCATAGGTATACTTAAGCTGTTTTACGATTATGATATTTTATGGCTTTTGTCCTTATTTCTAGATGTTGAACCGGCTTTTAACGAAAGTATTGGTACTTCTCTAGTATTTTAAAAGTTTTATTTTTTAAAACCTGCCTTCTGATAAGCCATAAGTTTTTCTATGAGGTCTGTTTTCACAAGGACATATTTTGTACTCTTTATTATTCGTTGACTATTTTCTTTTTTACTGTAAAATATTTGTGTGTGATAACTAATAGTTAGCTATTTAACTAAACTATTTGACCTTACCACTACTGTAATTCTGGTATTTCCTTCGAGCTAACATTCGAGCAGGTCTCTATTAGATATTCGTATAACTGCACAGACATTATGTTTAATTGGTTCAGGTTTTAGTATATTTGCTGATTGCCCAATATTCAGAACAGTATTATATCATGTTGCAAAAATACAGATGATATCTAATACTGGGTAACAGTCTCCAGTGGAAACAAGGTCATATTTAAATTTTACAAGGTAGTCTACCATACGTAGTAGACAGGCTTGTAGAACCCACATCACCAGGAAGAAATACTTACGGCTTGAAATATAGTTGGTTAAAAAAAGTGAAAGCAATCAATTAATATATCTACCAAATGTTATTAATTTAATGTGGGGTATCAGGCAGGATTCCTTAATTCCGAAAACGGCTGGAGTCGGATACAATTTGATTGAAAAAGTCTTTCGTAAAAGTTGATTTAAAATAAATTTGTTTGTTCTAAAGACTTAACTGTCAAGGAGTGGTAATTTTGACTAGTATGTATTGTTGAACATTATAATAGAGATATTATTCTTTATTGGTTAAACCAACGTCCTTCTCGTTGCTCCATTCACTTGCAGTCATTATGATTTATTAGTTACATAACTTTTATGAAACATTTGCTTTCAAAGAAAACTCTGAGCACTGATGCAGATTCATCTTTTTGTTAAAGTGCTAATGGGTAAACTGATATTAAAATACAAAACATTGATTCATATCAGCAGATTAAGAAAAGCAACAGTGAGTAGTCATAAAACAATGTAGGCCAATTTGTAGGTAGGTAGTAATGTGACAGTTAATTATGCTAATTTGTGAATGAGTTAAGTTTAAACTACTTTCTTGTTCAATTTAAAACAGAAACGATATATTTTTCAAACGGTTTTCGGAGTTTTTAAATAAGTTTTTAAATAAGTGAACTTAGGGTTATGACGGATTATTATCAGTGGCGTCGCGATAAAAAATAATAATCTGTACCTACTTGCAAATAGTGGATGCCAAGAATGCACATCCACTATAAGAGTTTTCTCAAAAATAATTTTGTCGCCCATAATTGAATCGTTTTTTTATTGTAGACAATTGGGTTGACTAAGCAATATTTCCGCTATTATGAAATTCGCATGTATTCGCAGTTCTTATGAGGTTAGAATTAATTGGTTATGAAATATAAATAATTAAATAAATGGTTTTTTTAACTTGTGGACTTTTACTGATTAATGAAATTATGTATTCAAGATTGGGATCCTCTATATTGTGGAACGTTCGCCAGTATTTGAATGGCATTTTGTATTGTGATTTAAAACTTGAGACTCAGACGAGGTCATATTGAAGATACCACCAAATATTTAAATTTCGAAGAACAAAAGGGAATATTTTCGAACTGGATAATTTAATATCTAACAAATATTTCAATATTTTTTGCCGAATTTCGCTCAATTGTTTAAATTTTATAAACTTATTTCAATAGCCAAATCTAACAAACACTTTTGCAAACTATTGGCAGACCGTTAATCCATTTTGATTACAAATAAATGGAATTTAAAAATTATAAGCATCTATGCATTAAGTTTTTTTATTTTTTTATTTAAGCAATTTTAATCTCTAAAGAGAGATATTTTGCAACCAGATAACGTTGCGATTTCGGATTTCAAAACCAAAAAGCACTTCAAAATTATTCAACCAACTGCTCCAAATTTGATGTTTTACAGATTTGTAAAATGAACAACAATGAACAACAAAATTTAGTATAAATATTTTGTTTTAATGTCTTCGTTTTATTTTTTTCAGAAGCCAAACGTGCTAAACTCTGGAACAAAACTCTACTAGTTGCTACATTCTGAAATGGGCCTGGAAACGTATACAATGGAGGAACATCGAAGACGGTAGTCTACAGTTAGTGTATTTGGTTCGAAATGAGTGCTGGTACGACGGGCACAGCTTTGCCCCAGCCAACGTCCAGCATTTTGGCCTTAAAAAGGACGAAAATGGGAGGACTCAGAGATTCAGTTCCGGGAGTACATGGCAAAGGTGCCATTCCATCTGTTGGAGGCACTCATGGAGTTCGCGGGCGACTTAGTAATCATCAGAGAAATTTGAGCTTGGATTTCAGGTAAGAACTTTCTACGATTTTTTTTATAAACAGCAAATGAATTCGACCCACGAAGATACTCATCAAACTATTGCAACAAAACATAACACTGCACATTTACTTTGGAGCTCTAGCGTGGAATTTCATTGGTTTTGCTACTATAGGTATAATAAGAACAACATATTTTTACCCCAAATGCTTCATATTGAAGTTTTTAGGAATGCAATTTTTTATTTCTAAATAGATCTAGAGGGTGTCCCGAAATGATGTTTTGTACGCCTTAAGTATTTTCGAAAAATCATTAATCAACATTCTTTATCTCAAGATGAATAATTGCTTAGGGGAGGCACAAGCTAAAACATTTGGGAAAGACGCTCTTTAAAATGTATTTTTAAACACGCCATTATGAAACACCCTGAATATGATCATTTTTTTGACAATATTTCAGACAATATCGGCTGCTCAAACAGCTCGATTATAATTTAATCACTAGATCACAAGCTACTAAGTTTGCGAATGTAGATGAGCGCTTGTTTAACATTTTGATTTATTCAACAGAACAGTTTGTTTAATGTAAAGTAGGATCTCTGTACACGTGAAGGTAAACATTGAATATCAATACAACAAATGATAGCTGCTTAATTCTCTTCTGGAACAAGGTACAGTAAGTTTAAATCGTTTTCTCTGAAACGCATGGGCTAATGATTGATTGCTTCCATTTGCCCGAATATATTTTAGAAAGAAACCAAGCATTATGCCGGTCAAACACATTGAGAATTTCTTTATTACCTGTGAATAATATATTAAACTGTAATTATGTTGTTTTTGGATTTATTCCACGAACATCTTTCTCGAGAGTGGGTGAAAACATACATTTTAAATACATTGGCGACATTCAGTGAAAATTTGCAGTTGAGTTGAATACTTATCTAACTCTGATAACTATAACTTGTTAATATTTAAAATCTCTGTCTTAAACAAATTGCGTGGATTTTGTTGGCGGTGAAATTTATTTTCCCAGATCTTCAGGCCGATTTGCACATATCCAAGTATCAAACAATGTAATGAATTAAACTAAACCGCTCATCTAAATAGTTGTTACATGACCAAATTTGCCCTAACTTTGCTACTGAGTAACTTTTGATTGCTGTTTGCGATTTGATTTCTGTTTCAAGCTTTTTCTACTCCAATTCTTTTTCAGTCAATAAGTGCTTTTGGAAAAATTGTGTTCTGCAGATAGAGTTCCTGCAGGATGGAAAATAAAACAATACAAAAATTGTGAAAGTTTGGCATCATCCCAATTTAAAAAAAATCGGATTTCAAGATAAATATAAAGATAAACCTGATAGCTGCGATTTTTGAAAATTTCGTGTATGATGTGAGTGTGCTCAAAAAGTTTACTGTGGTCTTCCAGTAATAACATTTTTCATTTTGGATCGATTTTCAGAATCTGGAGCTCATGCTGAAACTAAAACTTCAAAGTCGAGTTAAGACGAAAATTTGATAGACAGGGTTGCTTCATTGTAAACGGACTGTTTGAAACTTCGAGACCTCGGGGGCAATTCTAATTAGGGTCACTTTTAATGCAACCCTGTACATTGAATTTTTATCTTAAATCGACTGTGAAGTTTTAGCTTCAACATGAGCTTTATATTTTGAAAATCGCTCCAAGAGAAAAAGTCTTATTACAGCAAAACTAGAGTTTATTTTGTTGAACACCCTGTAAATATAAGAAATAGGCGAAAAAATAAAAATCCGTTTTGAGATATACATAAGGTCTTTCTTTATGTCTCTGGCGTTGAGATTCAGAAACATATTTTTTGTGCAACTGGCGGCATGTGAAACTTTCAGCAAGTTTGCATTATTTCATTTTCCACTCAGTAGGAATTTTATCTGAAGCAGAATTTTTTTGTTTACTTACAGTTTATTTACGAAGTGCTCAATACATTTTTCTTGCCTCATTCTTTGTCTCCAATCTCATCGACAAAAAATATTCACAAAATTGGCATAGTTATTACCTTATTCTCATAGAAGATCTCATTCCAATCTACTTGAACGCACTACTGACTATAACTTTTTGAACGAGAGATGATACGATCAGTTGAGGGGTTCGCTCAGGTACATCCTTCATAAATTTGCTTACTCGACTTAACAATGTCGATACTCTTTAGTCTCATTGGGTCAAGTTTTGCAATAGACGGCGCTTTCTACTACATGCCTGCGATGAAAAAATTCAGATAACTTAAAGATGCATTTTACCGTAAGCAATAAGGTTTCGATTCGATTCAAATAGGAGTACCGAACATTTCCAAGTTTAGCTAACATGTTCAATGAATGTAACAAAATTACTTAGGTTGCACGTCGTGACAAAGAAGCAAATTGTTTGAATAGATGTGATAGGCTTATTGATCTATAACTGTCTAGACTTTCAAAATTATTTGTTATTTATTAGGTGCTTTTCAATATTTATGAAAATAAGTAAGTCTGCCATTGACGCTACCAGTTCTGCTCTGCACATTTTTGTGGGTGGCTACAAATTACGAAATGGGTCACTGATGGATTTTTTAGGATAATGTTGAAGGTAATATTAATGGAAGTATAAAGGCTCCGACAACAATTCAACTCGATCAAAAACAGATTATTTGATTAATTTGAAGTATTCCGCTTCTAGCTTGTAAATATGTCACAGCTAGAATTGATATAACTTGAGATCCTAAATGAATTATCCAAATGAACTAAATCATCATCGTCTCAGATGTAACTTAAATGATATTGATTGTCGTTGAGCGACATGTAGCTGATGATACTGCAAATGATTATAGCTTTGTTTATTGGCAATAAGTGGTACCTCTGTGTTCCCTCATATCGTACGTAATTGCACTGTAATAAATACGCAGTTGTCGTGGAAGTCTGACCATTTTTGGACGTCCGGAACGTGGCCCATCACTTTTATCTACGTGCAACCACGCTTGAAATCCGAATCCCAAGAGCTTAATGAAGCGAATGGGTTGAATTACAAGTAGCAACGTTCAACTTTGAATTGTGCCTTTGTTAAAAAAGTCTATTTTATAGACGGGTGATTTCTTGCTTAGACTGGACAAGCATTTAGATTACCAAATTTGAAGCGCAATAGGAGGAATGAACATGAGTTATAGTAGAAACTACGGGATAGAAAATTAGAACTTTATTTGCTTCCCAGAATATAATTCCGATGATTTAAGTACATTGATTAACAATTATCTATATGGATAACCAACATTTATAGAACCCGTTAAAAAAGAACATAAATATGTACTTACAGTGAAAACGCAAAATATGTCTGATATGCACTAAAAAAGTTATTCGCAATCTATTATTTTCTTTTATCCGTGAATTATCTGGTCATTAGACTGTCCAGCATTTTTTATAGCTTTATATATACAGGGTTGCTCATTAGTGCGTCAAAGTGCGATATCTCAGTAAATATGAACTTTACAAGAAAATACGTCCTACGAAAGTTTTTCATGTTTAAAAGGTCCACATTTTAAAATTACTTTCCAATATACGGGATGTATCATAAACGTGTGGTAGTTACCAACTTTGGTTTTTTAAATGGAACCGCCCTTTTTTTCATTCATTTTCAGATTTGTCGTCAAAATTTAAGTTAAGTTTGTGTCAAACGTTTTACCTGAAAAATTTACGATTTCCGAGTTATTCGTAAAAATGTGAAAGTTTTGACAGCTACTGGGTTCCACAGAAATCGATGCTGTACACTACCCGCTGCGAATTTTGGAAAACAGTTTTCAGCGATTCTAACAGAACATCATGATCTACG